GACTTAATTACTCACCAGATTCCCCTGCAGTCTTATTCTTTCCATGAGGCTTGTATAGCACATATGAACAGCCTTTTACATGGAAATGGTCATTGATTTGTCTGAACCATCTAATAAAAGAAGAAGAATGAAGTCAAGGGTTGCAGATTTTGTTTGCTGTTAAATACATTATGTACCGTGGCAGGGGTTTTGCCTAATAATTGCCTCATAGACATTTCTGACTATAAAAACAACTGTTCTGAATATATACACCAAGAGGAGTCCAATAAATCTATAAAAACAGCTCCTCTTGTTTTTCCCATAATAATGTAGGAGCTATCACTTCACAGCCATGCTATCACCACTACCACCACCACAGACCGGATTCTACTCTACTAATTAAAGTCCTTCCATACTGCGTTCAATTTCCCAAAAATGCACATGGCCTTTTAGATCTTCATCCTAAAGTTTGCATAATCTGACCCACCCACGTACACAATGTTAGCCTAAAAAGTGATCCATAGTTAATATTTTGTGCAAACTTTAACAGATGACTCGAGAGGCATGTTAAATATCTAGGTCCATAGTTAGACAAATCATTATCTAGTGGGATGCCTCATCAGTCTTATCTTATTACACCCCAGCTTATACATAGCCTAAATAAATGCTACAAAATAACTTCAGAGGCTTAAATGAGAAACATATAGACAAGGACATAATTATTTCAGGAATCTAGTGATGGAGAAGTGATAGATTTGTTAGCTAATGTTTATATGTCCAGAATGTACATTACATACATCACAATATCAAAGCATCTGCAGGAAGCATTGATGGCTAAAGAGAAATAAAGTGGTAGAATAGAGATAGAGTTTAACATAAAAAGGTATGCCTCGCCTTCACCGATGACTGCTCCGATATGTCGAACGATTTCATACCAGAAATAGAGGTGGAACCCCCACCCGCCTCAAAGAACCCTCTCCTGACTTCCCCACAGCCGGACTCACCTCCAGTCACCACGGCGATCATGAAAGAACTGCTGGCTGGGGTTCAGCTAGCTTTACAGAATGACATGGCCTAAATCCACAAAGACCTACAGGGCCTGACAGGCTGCATGAGCACTGTGGAGCAAGACTCCAACCAAAACGCAAAGCACACAAAGTACCTGCAGCAACAGAATCTTAAATATGACCAACGATTTGCAGCATTAGAAGATCAGAGGTGAATCATGAATATTAAGAGCAGGGGGATCACTGAGGAGATACCAGAGGCTGAAATACCTCTCTTTGTAAGGTGACTTCCTAACAGCCCTCCTATGTCCCAAGCACGCAAAACAGGTGACCCCGGAGGGGGTGTTCCGTCCACCGACGCCTACCAAGCACGTTACCTAGGGATCTCCTGGTGCACTTCCTCGGTAACAGAGATAAAACAGCGGTGATGAACACAACACAAAATCAATCTCAATACCTATTCGAGAACATGTCGCTATCATTCTGCACAGACCTGTCTAGGTCCACCCTGGCTTGGCGACGCTCTCTCCAGCCCTTTACATCTCTCCTCCGCAAACAACACATCAAGTACAGGTTAAGGGGACCACACGCACTGCCAATGAATCATGGCGACTCCTCGTTCACCATCCACGACATGCAGGGTGCGAGAGATCTCCTACCCACCCTGGGTATACAGGAGGACTCCTTACCTCCGACAGGACCATGAACCACCTCCGCAACACCCTGTATCTGGGACCCCGCAACGGTTACCCCATTTGTCCCCCAACGGCTCACGTCAGAGAACTATGTAGCAGTCATGACCTGATGGGACTTTGACAGTAAGAGAGGCCAAATCCCTATCTCTCTAGACCTCCTGACCCAAGGGCTAGTCCCAGCCATTAATGCATAAGAACACCAAGTTTAGCACAGTTTATAGTGTACAGGTTATGCCTTGCATGGTGTTTTTAATTAGTGTGAACTGTATTCTGCTTTAATTTGTCTGTCCCAATATTTCCTCAATATCAAGAAACAAGAGCTGCATCCTGCTTACCTCCTCCCTATACATGCAGAATGTGGGCACACCCAGATCTAAATAGCTAATCGCATCAGCAGCTACACACAGACCGGGCCACAACAGGCCCAACTTCTCTCCCCCTCCATCCCCAGGGTTAAGGAGCATATTGTTCATCTCTATTCATGTTTTATTAGTTCTTCTTTCATCTTGTTCCTCATAGCAAGTTTTTTTAAATATGGCAAAACCGACATTGATTTTAACAATTGAAAATCAGCCAATGCATACACTTGTGGCATAATTAGTACTTACAGAGTGATTATTCTTTCTTATAACATAAAATGAGATCTCATCATCCCAAATAGCTTGATTTACATGCTCTCACCTTACCTTCTTACAGATGTAACTTTAAATATAAAAATGTGCAGTTTCTATGAATGCCATGCTAATAACCTCTGTTTTTACTATGCTTGTTATTGCTATCGGGGCCTGTGAAGCCTGTTTATTACCACTTCCACAATAAAAAGAATTTTTTTTTCAAAAGTATATCTGAGCAGAAATCTTCATGTAAGTTTAATGCTGACTCTGGTTTCAGGTATCATTCAATATACTGATCAACAAATGGGACTCATCTGAAGATAATTAACATATTAGAAGAACTGTTTCTCAAGTTGTCAATGAGATTTTCTCAATCAATAACATTTTAATTTAAGATGAGATATGTATAGAGGCCTGTTTTGCACGTACTAAAGAAACACTGCAGGTTATTAACACCCACTTTATTTTTCGTGTCCATTTGTTAAACATCTCAGTAATTACAATATCCGTTAAGAGACGTTATGGTCTACGAAAACTTATGGTTTGTCTCACAGTAGAAGACTATATGTTGTACATTTTATTGTGACTAATGGTACTTTTTGTCAGGGCCGGACTGGGCCATTGGGATAGCGGGAAATTTCCCGGTGGGCCGGGGCACTTGGGGCTGCAAAGTGCAGAATCTTCTCCTCCCCCCACCCAGTACACAGTCTCATGTCGGGGGCTTGATGAGCTGAGGAGTGAAAGTCCCCTCTCAGCTCTAGATCAGCACTGTGCTTTATGCACTCGCGAGTGAAACATAAGGAGCAGGGGAGGGAGGTAGTCCTGGTCCCTGCCTGACAGCCTTCACACACAGAAGGCATGTGACCTGGCAATCAGGCAGAGCAGGGCAGCCCACGCGGGTCCTCTGATGTTTTGCTTCCTGTGTGTAAAGTGCTGGCAGGCAGGGAGAGGAGTGAGCAGGGGACCAGACAGAGCTGCAGGCAGGCTGCTTCTCTGTGTGTGTGTGTGTGTGTGTGTGTGTGTGTGTGTGTCAGTATATGTCACTGTATGTGTGTCAGTATGGATCATTGTGCGCCAGTGTGAGTGTGTGTATGTGTGGGCATCAGTACGTGCCAATGAGTATCCATTAATCAAAAATCTGTGTGTATGCCTATATAAGTATTTTTTATTTTTTTATTTTTTTTAAATGACATGTTGAATTATAAAAATTAAATACAGCTTTGCTTTATCTATGTGATTTGTGGAAGTATTATGCATACATACATATGCACAAACGGTATTATATCACTATATATATATATCATTTTATTAATTATTTTGTTTATAATATATAATTAATGCATAATACACTTGGAAATTACACACACACACATATATATATTGTAAGAAGGGTCTGACATTTGCCAAAGGGTTTTTACTAATATTTTTAATTTTAAAAATGAAAATCTAAATTTTATAATTTAAACTAAAATAGCAGATTTGAAACAAAATGTTAACTTGGGTATAGTGACAGCTTGACTATTGTAGCCTAAATTTTGCAATTTACATTTTCATTCTCAAAAATGATTAGTTTAGTGGATAACCCTGCCTATCTCTCAGTCTTTCATTCCCTGGTATCAAACTACACACAACGAAGAGTGCACTTGTAGGACTGAGGACTAAACAAAATCACATTTATTTAAATCAGACGTGCAGCAGCATTCAGTCAATGTGTCATTCCCATTACTGGACCTTTCAAAATTATAAGGATGAAACGTTGAAGTAAGATGTTGCACATCTGATTAGAATAATACAGCTCTTTTGTTTATTTTAAGTCCTGTGAGTGACTCCTTGTTGGTGAAATAATTGTTACTGTATATCTGTCAGCGCTGGCACAATTAATGATAGGGCTGGTATAACATTTTTTCAGGGCTGCTTTTTGTATTTTATTTCACTGCATTTCTGTATGCGCACACTTGTTTGCAATTTTGAAAATCCAATAAAATCTAAATGAAAAAAAATAAAATAAAAATTATATATATATATATATATATATAAAAAATATTATACCCCATACTATAGTTGTTGAAAATCTAAATGCAATTACTGCTAGTTTCTCATGTCGGCGTGACTTGCAAACCAGCATGATGCCTATGCATTGTGAAATGGAGGCAAGGGGGGCACTTGCGGGGCCAGGTTATGGTGCAAATGTTTTCTGTTTTCTAACAAAACAGCAAATTCAACACAAGCCTACAACCTATACGAAGATGTGGAGTTGATTTTGTGCCAAAGTGACACTTTAAAGAAACGCAAGTATAAATTTGAATGAATTATATTTGCAATAATAATATGGACAGAATGCCAAGAGTCATGAAGAGTATTAGAACAGTGGAAGTGTTACCTCATCAAAGTGGTATTGCCAGTGAAAGGCCCAAATCGTATTTCTTCAAAGGGAGGCTGAAAACCCAAAATATGTAAGGCATCCTCTTGAGTTATTGGTGGGAGGCTGTAGAGAGCAAATCACATTTACATAAAACCAACAAACAAAAAAATGTTGGAATTCAGTGTTAAAAATGTTAGTCTGCTTTGTTCACCACACAGCAACACAATTTTATTTATTTATTTTTTAAGTATTAAAAAAACAAAAACACACACACAAAATAAAAGACAGAGTAAGGGTTAATTAAATATATTTCTTATGGAGGACTTTACACTATGAGAAGTGTAACAAAGAAACAGTTGTACACGCATACACGTTACAATGACATCCGTAAAGCTGTATTTACTACGTTTCAAAAAATAAAACATTACAGAGAATTGACAGTTCCTCAATCTCACGCCAAGAAATTGTATAAATATGCTAAAAGGAGAGATATAGACAGTGGGTTTGATCAATGATCAAACAGGCTATATTCCAATAGATCCACATGTTCTACAGCACTGCTGGGTTTACATTACTTTGCATGGTAAGATCTGGCTGTGTCTGGACAGAAAGACAAACAAGCTGTGTAAATTAAATATATAACCTGATGTAAAAAAATAAAAAAAATAAATAAACAAATCCAACTCATAGGCAACTTTCAGATGGCTTTCAGCTTGAGCAGAAACCTGACAGTTTGGCTTTAAAGTGGCGGGTACCTTCCTGTTCCCAGGGTGCTGTACAGAAAGTTCCAGCATGATACCAGTGAGGAAATTCCACATGATGTCTTGTACTGGGGACGGCTGATACAATACCTGTAGAAACAAACAAACAAAAGAAAAAACATAGGAAAACTGAGCTTACTTTCCAATTAATGTGCAATGATCTACACAAATAATAGCACTAATAAGCAAATAATTAGAGAGGTGGGGTTGACCATGGGAGGATAATTCTACGTGGGGGCTTGCATTGTTAAGGTCCTGAAAATGCACGCGGAACTGGGCATGCTCGGCATATTGACTGAGGGATGGGTGTCATTAGTGACAGTATTCCAACATACACTGATTACAAAGAAATAAAACCGCAAACAAATGAATGCACTTCGAGTAGATGTTACAAATGTCTCGAATGGTGTGAAGAAGGTATACATAACACAATTGCAAAATCAGTCTCTAAGGAGTTCTGTTAATGAGATCCTTAAATGTATTATAAATACCAAATAGTCAACAGAGAAGGAATTTTTGGGGTTCAACATTGTTTTACAGCGGGAGTATTTAAGCAGAGCCAGTGTCCCTTCATTTGTATATGTCAGGCATTTAATATTGTGGTGTACTATTAGTTTATTTTATTTAATAAAATTGTTCTTAGCACTACCATATGTTCGGTTTACTTTTGAAGTTGTTAACCACTGCTTTTTGGAGTTAGCAGCTTGTTTTTGTCCTATGTTTCATTAAGCTATTTTTGTTCCACATTGCTGAACCCACTTTTTTCCCCCCACTCTTTTGATAGCGAATTGGTATGTATAATATAATTTACTAGACTTTACTAAGAATCTCATTAACAGAACCGGACAGAAGACCCAGTATTATAGACATTTCTAATAAATACTTTAACTGTATTCATTTGTTTATTCTTTTGTTATACGGAACATAAAGCAGGAGTGTCACTAGAGGGGTCCTGGGGTGGCTCCAGCTCTGAATGTGGAGCTATTTAGCTATTTAACCCAGAGTCGTGAATCACTAGAGATGCTGTCCCTGTCGAGTCTGCTCTGTGAATCTCACCTATGTCAGTAGTTAAAAATACACTATAAGCACCCACACCACTTGTCAATAAAATGGTCTGGGTGCACTGTCCCGTTAACCCTGCAATCTAAAACATTGCGGTTTTAGAGAAACTGCAATGTTTATATTGCAGCGTTAAGACTGCCTCTAGTGGCTGTATTCCAGACAGTCACTCAATGGGCTTCCTTCATTTACAAAGAGTTTAACTCATAATGATTTCCAATTTGTGCTAAACTTAAAAAGCAATATTATCCCATCATAACTCCAACTCTACAAATATGGAGGCTCACAAATGACTCACCTAACATCTCTCCACACCCCTCTCTCTATACCCACTGACTACAAACCCTTTTTTCCCAACCTGGGCTCCACACTCATTCATTTGACTTTATTTAAACACATCAGAGAACACCTTATCTCTGACTAACTTCAGTCTTGGATGGTGTCTCCATCAAATCTCTTCATACCATGACCAACCTTCTGCCCTACAGTCCTACTAATTCCTTCACTTCTCACATTTCCTACAAGCTACAGACAGGCTTTTAGTTGGGGGATGGGCATTCACAATGTTTGAAACCTACTGTAAATTTTGTATATTAAAACGTAAACATTATCAATAATGTATAAACTACTGCATGAGGAACACAAAGTTCCACTACCCCATTTTACAAGGTCCTGGACCCACAAACTAACCATCACACTCACTTCTAAAGAACGGGAGACAATATTCCAAAACATACATACATTAAACAGCAACTCTATACAAGAGAGTAACTATAAGAGTCTCGAGATGGCACTACTCTCCAGCCAAATTACACAACCTAATACGATAGATATATGCTGATGATGCAATCAAAAAGTGTAGGTCTGCCCACATTTGGTGGCTATGCCCAGAAATTCAAGCTTACTGGAAACGGGTGGTAACTATGATCACAGCTGTAACAGGAGTCAGTTTGGCACACACTCCAGAAGCCTTGACATTTCTACTCCACCCACACTTATTTCCCAAAACTAGCAAAACATTAAGCTCCCTCTTATTCTCCTAAACCCTGGCCAAGGGGAAGAGTGCAATCCCTCACTCTCCTAGAGAGTGGATTCAGAGGGTAGAATCCATCAGGGTGATGGAGGAGATGACTGCATCGCGAACCAATACATTTGGGTCCTACTCGTTTACTTGGGACTCATGGGTGAAATTCTTGAGAAACAACTCCACACCTCCATAATATGACTATACTGTGACATTTAATTCTGCTACCGGCAATTTTATTTTATTTGGTTGAGGTTAGTCCATTTGAATTTCCGTTATGGACCACCCTTTCCCTACACCCCTTCAAAAGTATACACATGGCCAGTAGGAAATAAAGGCCTTGATTTGTGCTCTCCTGGGTATCTAATGAGAAAGAACAATGAGCAGTATCTGTTGTCTTCTTTTGTCTCCTCCTCCTACTACTACTATATGCCCGCCTTCGCACACAGCACTAGAGAGGCTCAAGCTGAATCCCCAGGACTATCACAGTCCTTTGTCCTATTGTCCAGTTATACACTTCGTACATGCATTGTTATCACCAGTGTCATATAACTGTTGTGTTAATGATTCTTTCTTTTATGTACTGGATGTTACTGAGCACAAATAAAAGCAATATTATCACAGCTTAGAAGGGATATAAGAAGAAAAGAACATTAGTGGTCTATACACTTGTTTGATTTCCTAACTGTGAATTACAAATACACACATATATATATATATATATATATATATATATATATCATTCAAAACATGTTTTACTGTGAAGTTATTACAGTAAACAGTGAACTGAAGATAACATTTTGATAATTTAGGCCAATATAATCCAGTTGGGAATAATAACAATGGCCCAGTCATTCCCTCACACCAAGGACAAGTGGATAAAAAAAAACAAAAAAACACATGCAGCACCATCAAACAAGGCCTGCCATGTTTATAACCTTTAATAAATACATTCATAGAATAGATAAAGTGCTACTAAATATGTCTGTATAAAGGTAGATGGATTAATAGAATTAAATCAGACTTGTTGCTAGGTTCCATAAACACATTATGGCAAATCCACTTCTATTTAGGACATCTCCCCCATTCTCTACCCATGAAAACAGAGGTCTGCTTATGATCTCTAGGATCTCAAGGAAAGCATAGCCAGAAACAAGAACATTTTGCACAGCCAGGTATTCTCTATGATCCTGCCATGCTACCTACCTAACACAGTGGTGTGGAGCTGCCACTCCCCCTTGGTAGCATTGCAGAGCACTGTACTCATGATCATTCTTTTTATATCAGGAGGCTGATTGGAGTTAAATTAAGAAAATAAATAAACACACGCCAATATCCTAGAGCCCGTCCACTACATGTACAGATCTCCACACCTGGGACTTCAGCTCCCAAAGTCCTTGCCCAACAATTCCTATGGATTATAGACAATCAGTAACATCACACAAATCCTCTCTATACTTTGTATTTACTCTCGTGGTTTTTGGTTTTGGAGGGTATTCTGTGCCACATTATCACTGCAGTAGTAAGTCTGTGTTATTTCATAAAGTGAAATATTTTCATTACATTTTAACCTGTTGCGTGGCAGCCATCTGGCAGGTTTTGCTTATTGCTGTAATATCACACGAAGGAGCTGAGCAGAAATGACAATCTGCTTCTGAATGCCCAGATTTTGAGGCAGTTTTGTACTAAATATATATCCAAACTCCTATACTTCATTTGGTATTCTTATTTTTGGGCTAATTTCTGTTTTCTTTAGAAGAATCAAATTTTATTCAGGCTCCAAATTGTATTTATCTTTTATATTTTCAACACAAATTGTTTTTAGTGAAGATCTGAACTGCAATTTTGGGTTAAATTCAGAGATTTGCAAAGAATGTGTAATTTGAAGGCTCATTGGCGCCTCAATGAATACTCCTATGCTTGCTTTGAATAAATCGGTGGCACAGCATATTATTTTTCCCTACTATACACAGTTTGTGTTAGTATTCTAAGAGTTGTTTACCATCTTCGGAGGTCTAGGACTTTTCGCTGTTTGATGTCATCCAGGACGAAGTGCTGTGGACATTCTCTTAAAGATTTCACCTTGCGCTCTGTTTTCTTCTTTGGAGTTGGTTTATTAACTACTCCTGTAATAAGATATTGCAGACTAAATTAAATGAGATACTGAGCTTATTCATTTAACTGGTGTGTTGAAAATCACAGGACATGATTTCACAGGGTGCATGATAAAGTAAAATGTCCCACTGTACACTTTAGCAAATCACAGAAAGTCACAACAAAACTTGAAATCACTATCTATGTCATGAAATTATTATTTTATTTTTTTAATGCAGTCTAAATGTCTGAAAATGTAGATCAGATTACAGAGTTTTCTGTTTTAGCTGATGAACTTTCACAAATGTTAAACTACAATAGAAAAAGTCAGTTGTGTTTTCAGTTCAACTATTTCGGCCATACATTTTTTAATTCAAGATTTAGTAAATATAATAATAATAATAATAATAATAATAGAGGAAAACTGACTATTTTTATTCAAGGCACACATTTTCATTGACAAGCACAGTAGATAACATTAATATGTATGATTTAGCTAACAAGTGGAATAGCTACAACCACCACTTAACTTTGCAGTAACCGCTTAGTTAATTAACAAAATATGGTTCTTTTCCTGGGCTTTCATGAGGCATGCGCATTAGGTCTCCCCCATTGGCTGACATTTGGCAGAGGAGGTGGAGCGGGACCCAGTGCCAAGGGACATCGACACTTGAATCAGGTAAATTACTTAAAAGGATTTTTAACCCTTCCATGGACGGGAGAGGTCAGGGGGAAACATTACTGTTAGCAATAAATCTTTAATGTTATGTGACCTTTCACTGGCATGTTACAAAAACAGTTCATACCCACCGTACTTTCTTAAAAGACTGTATATTAAATTGGGTAATAGTAACAACCGCTGGGTGTTGGGCTAAGGTAACATCCCCAGGACATAGTTGAAAACCAGAGTAATTTGAATGTACCTTTCCTGGTTAAAATACTTTGTTATTATTATTATTTAAATTATTCTATATTATAATTCATTATATATTATAATTCATTATATTTTATATATGGTTTTCCGGTGCAAAATAATTTAACTGAAATTGTTGACATCATTATATTTTAAAATGTATTATATTCTGACAAAGTAATTTTCCACTGGCTTGGTAAACCAACTCTTTTGGTGAAAAAGAGGAAGTGTTATTAACATAATACCTTGCTATTGAAATCCTGTCAGAAACTACAATAGTGTCTGTGAACTGGGCCGAATTCATGCTAATTATTTTGCCACACTATTGTCATCTAGGTCTGAGATCACTTTCCACTGCTTTTGTCTGACCAACCCAATACATACACAACTTAAAGCAACTAAAACCATAAAATGCACAACCTAAAAATACAAAGGGAGACCAATAGTGCAGACAAAAATAACTAAATATTAAAAATAAAAAAATATAAAGCACTCACAAACATAGAAGTAAAAAGGCAGGGTATAGCCAAATTTCTTCAAGTGCTTCTTCTTCTTCTTGTGTATGAAGATGAATACTTAAAACAGAGCACAGAAGAATTTTAAGTATTCATCTTCATACACAAGAAGAAGAAGAAGAAGAAGAAGCACTTGAAGAAATTTGGCTATACCCTGCCTTTTTACTTCTATGTTTGTGAGTGCTTTATATTTTTTTATTTTTAATATTTAGTTATTTTTGTCTGCACTATTGGTCTCCCTTTGTATTTTTAGGTTGTGCATTTTATGGTTTTATGTGTAATATATTGAAGACATTGAGGAGTCTTCGCACTTCCTATCGTTGGGTATTTATATAATATTTATATTTATATTTTACCTTTTTTAGCCACACAGGGTTTTTTTGCATATCTTGTGCAAATCACTTTTTGTTTTACAACTTAAAGCAAGTATGATATAAGAAGAAGAAGGAAAAAAGAAAAAAAGTATTCACCTGGTCTGCTTTTTAATTTTGAAGTCATTGTGTTGAAGTCTGATGTATCTATTTCCCAGGCAAGTGGAATTGTCCCAATCTCACTAGATATGGAGTCCAAGCTTGAGTCTTCATTATAAATGCTATCTGACCCACTGGCCTGGAGATCTATGTAGTTCAGTGTATTGTGTAAGGCAGATTTTTCTTGTGAACTAGAACTAGTAACGGAACTGGGGGGTTTACACAGCGATGCCGCTTGGTTTAAGAATGCATAGTCCGAGCAGATAGTGTAGAACTTTTCTCTGGTGTGCGTTACTGGGCACCCCCACGGATAATGCCTATCTGTACCAGGTCCGAGGTTACCAACTGGAGCATCTGGTAAGTCAAAAGATTCCACAACATCGTGACCATTTCCCTTTGGAGACTTCCTCTTGGATTTATGCTCAATGTTTTCAGGACCATTAGCTCCTCTGTCAGCTTCTACGTTAGGCATTGAATGAAGATGCTATTTGTAGTTGTGCACAAACACTACAAGCCTATCTGATATCCACTAAAAAATTTAAGAAAATGAGCGTAATTCTTTCATCTGAATAGCTTCATCCTGCACAGTGAGACCTGGAATTCAAACAGAAGATATTTAAGGTATATTTAAATTGCCCAATTAGAAATGCAGGAAAGTAAAACAAAAAGGGACTAATCTAGGTATATTGTTAAACTAATTCAAAGCAAAAAGGACATAATGACTGAAACACTGCTTTCAATATTAGATAACAGTAACTACACACCCTAATACCAAAAAAAGCCACTACAGGCAATTCTCACTTACCGACCGGGTTCTGTTCTTACTCTCGGTCGCAAAACAAATTGGCCGTAAGGGGTAAGTGAGGATGCGGTACAGAGCATGTACACCAGTGCAGGTCAATATTCTGGGAAAAAATTCCCCTGAACATAGATCAGCTCTCTAAATCTCTTGAATTCCTGCACTAGAGAGCTGGTCGTCAGCCCGTACCGTTGTTAAAAAGGTAAGTCATAAAATGAGGACTACCTGTACTGTGAACTAGCAAAACATGAATGCAGCTCAGCAGCCAGACGGCTTATGTTCTTGGACCTGAGTGAACAGTAACTTTTGCCCTCTAACGACTAGATGCTACTGCACTGATATTTTAGCCATCTCTAGAAATACTATTTCTCCTCTCCAGCTCTGAGGGCTGGAGAGAGCCCTTAATTTGTAAAATTGCTTACTGTACTCCTTGACATTGAATAGCAGGTGTTTTTGGATGCTGTAATTATCAGCGCTTTTTTTTTTTTTTTACGTTTAAAACGGTTACTTGAACTACAAACCGCATAGCTGGAAGGGACATAAATTAAAGGGTTGGTACCACTGCACCTCCAAATATATTTGCACTTTTGTACAGGAGATAGTTACACCCCTGGCACACATTTTATAGGCAGCCCAGAACAGAGTACCTAATGTCAATTCTGTGCAAACATTACATCTGTCATCAGAGCACACAGCACACTGGTACCAGATGTAATAAGTTTCTCCCTTAAAAGGTAGCGAACCTGCAAGGCTATGCTTGGTTGTCCCTACACGCTGTGTGTGTGCTCCCCCACTTCCCTCCAGATACAGTTATTCTTTTAAAATTATCCCCTCCCTACCTCCCATACCCAGCTCAGAGGGCATGCATGATGGTGAAACAGTCAATTCAAATGTTACTCTATGAAAATGTTTTATTAGACCTAGGGAGAAGGAGGTTGTGGCATCAGACGGGGAGTGGTTTCTTTGATGGTGTATGAGGGCAGGGGGATAGAGTATCTTATGAATTAATTAACAATGCCCCATAGGGCTTTGTAAAGTAAAAATTGGTTTTATAAAAGTGTTAGATTAACTCTTTAAGCTGTATGAACATACAAGAACCAGGAGAAAGTATTTTAGAATGTAGACGGTGATACAGAGGAGGCAGTGTGAACGCTACAAAACTTTATTTCATTTTTTTTTTTTTAAATATACAAAATAAGCATACATAGTACACAGACAAAATAAAACACAGACAAATAAAAATCCTAAATAAAAGTTGTCTTGATGCCTGGAGTGTCCTTTTAATAACTATGTAGAAGCCCTCTAGAAAGGGCTAGCACATTTTGTGTGTTTAAATAGAAAAAAAGATGCAATCAACTTTATTTAACAGAACACTAAAAAAACAAAAAAAAAACAACAACAATATTCTGTCTGTACATACCGTGTTTCCCCGTAAATAAGATATCCCCTGAAAATAAGCCCTAGCTTATTTTCGGGGGATGCTCCCAATATACACCCTTCCCTGAAAATAAGCCCTAGCCGTTTGCTTATCTATGTTTGGGGAATTTTCCCCGAACATAGACCTGCATTCTAGCACACGTTTTTCCCTGAAATAAGACCTCCCCCGAAAATAAGCCCTAGTGGGTTTTTTCCGGGTAAAAATTTATATAAGACCCAGTCTTATTTTCATGGAGAAACATGGTAAGTGCCCAATTGACTACTACAAACAAAGCTACCTCTTTATCCCTGCAAATTGTATCTCATTTATATCACCATACATAGTGATACCATAGGTAACAATTAAAAGGGACCATATAGGCACCTAGATGACTTCAACTCATTGAAGTGGTATGTATGGGTGCAGTGTCCCTGTCCCCCTTAGCCTAGCAATGCAAAAAACTGCAGTGTCTACATTACAAGCTTCAGACAGCCACTAGAGGCACTTCTTGTAGTCTCACAGAGTTTGAAACGACGTAGATGCCCTCACGCTTTGCATGAGGATGTCCAGAATCCTCAATCCCCATAAGAAAGCATTGAGTCAATGCTTTTCTATGGAAAACGCCCTATGGGCATGCGGCACTCTCTGTGCATGCACGACGACAGAGGAACCTGACCCAGTACCGAGGGAACCAGTTAAGTGTAAAAAGGGATTTTTAACCATTTTATAGTTTGGGAGTGTGGGGGCATCTTAGTATTCCAAACACTAAAGTGTTCCACAATTCATATTTAACTGGAAAAAAAAATGTATGGTGCAGTTCACAGTCATACACATATGCTACAGATATGCTTGACAATACTGTCATGTAAATGAGTGCTACTGGTTTTTGTTTTGTAGAAAAGTCTTGTTTGTTTTCTCAGCATGCTCATGGTCAATGGGAACACAATCAGGTTCCATGCACCTGGGTGCCATAATAATCTTACTTTTCTGGTAGATGCCTCGGTGTGCAGCAGAGAGAATGAACCTGTATCAGATAGTGATGCTCTGCGGATACTTCTCTTTGCCAAGTCAAAAGTAGATGCCCTTTGGCAACCAAGTTGTTGTGGACTACATGTCCCCTGGAGCTTTGCTAGCAGTTTTATGGCTGTATGAGCATTAGGGGCGATGTACTCCACACCATCTGAAGGGTTTGTTGATTTTATAGTATTGCTGCCTTTCTACATTATTGTTGTTTCCTTTAATTATTGTGGACGCACCATACCCAGCGCAACCTTCTTAACTTGCACAATTAACCCTTGCCAGTCTGCAAATGCCTGGATCCTCGGCACCCATATAAATTTTGCTTTAAACCTGAATCAGGTCTCAGATACTCTGTAACCATAACCCTACATTGTCTGCCCCATGCATTCTGACATTGAGACTGATACGCCTTCTACTGGATTAGATGCACCAGATTAATTATTTTCTTGATTTTATTATTATTTTCTTCTTTCTTTTTAAAACCATTTATGTTTCAAATATTTTTGTTTTAACCTCCATACGAGCACAAAGCTTGTGGAACCTTTTGTTGTTAATTAGATCTTCCAAGAGTAGGTGTTTGCAGGAGCGTTCCGTAAACTGCAACAAAGGTTCTGCGGACAGGCCCTGACAAACACTGTGGTCCCAGTTTATATGGATGTATACATATAGCACAATGGGTAGCTTCATCACGGGAGAGCCCCAATGTTTGTCTAACTGCTTAAAACATTTTAGCAAAACACAGCAGGACACCCAAAGACGTCTGGCACCATTGCCACTACTATATCTCACAGTAATTATGGTGCCCTTTTTAAAGGACACCAATTAATAATGGTCATGAGAGGCGCACATTAATAAGCATTGGCCTAGGGCCCAGGCACAATAACAGCATAAATCCAAGCATAACCCGGAGTGGGTATATTCAGCTGTACAGGCATTTTAACCCCTTAAGGACCAAACTTCTGGAATAAAAGGGAATCAGGACATGTCACACATGTCATGTGTCCTTAAGGGGTTAAATAATATATTTGCTATCATAAGCATGCTACTCAGAATTAGCTTTCATTAAGGAAACAAAACAAAATCTGCTATTTTCAAAACACTGACCAAATACAAAAATAAAAACATACACACTATGTAAAATGTGTTTTTAGTTATATTTTTCCCAGATTAGTACTGACATGTATGCCCACCCCCTCTCATAAATCACAGCATGTCAGATAATCATTAATAGAACACTACCCTTTTTCTTTATCTCTGCATTGAAATCGTGTATATTTTTTTCCCCATTTCTATGCTGGTTGGTCATAACCGACCTGATTCTAAACTCCCTGCTAATACATACAATGATACATTGATGCAGACATAATGCTATCTTTACAGGTATATAGCTGGTATAGGACAGACTCCTCAGACCATTACACTGCCAGGCCTGTGACAGCAACACCAAGACAACCATAAACACAAGGCTTGCCAGCTCTGCTGATTCAGACACACAGTGCACTATAAGATCAATGCACACAGGATCATAGCTGCACTGCAGAGAGCAGGCTGATGTCATGACTACTACAAGCGTTTACAACCTTTTGAGTGCTGGAAGAATGTGCAAAACGGCATTATTATTTTTTTGCAGCTTTACATCTTCAAACTACATTCCTGGCATCTAAATAAAGAATCACCCTGTGTCCTCTTACCTCCCACGTGCCCCAGTGGATGAGACAAGTAGATCAATGTCAAGTGGAAAATGTGGCTGGTTTGTTGGTCTTTCTCTGAAATGTCATTTGGGGCTGCTGGTGAGATCCTCCTATCCACAGCTCTTTTCCTTCAGCACCACCCCCTCTCCAAACGGTAATATAATCCCTGAGCTATGTCTCGGCAAGCATCGCCACCTACTGCATGGGCGACTTCACTGTTTAACCCAGGAGGCGTTATAGGAATAAACACAGCATGTTTGGCCCTAGATAATAATTCTACTGTCTCTAGGATGTATCTTTGTCTCTTATTACTCATGTTAGAATATATATCACGCTGGATAATATTGGTACCAGCAATGGGAAAATAAATTGTGCTAGTCAGAAATTTAAATATTTAGCAGCATGGGATACACAGAAACACCCAAAATACATTTTCTTTAAAAAAAAAAAAAAAAAGCACAAATAAGACATTTCTGAACTACAGACTTATCACAGACCATTAAAAATATATTTAATAATTTAGCTGAAATATCATAAATATTCAAGTTGCAAGATATACATTTTGCCTGTCAGTTTGCCACCTCTGAGCATATACAGATGTTTGAGATTGCTTTAAAAGGCATACAGCTCTCCATAATTTATTGTGCATGCATTTATAACATGTTTGAGCATACACACGTTACCACATTTAAAAAAAAAAAAATTCCCCCACAGTTTCTGAGAAACTGGACATCTCCGCTAACTAGCAGGGCCATCTTGCCCCAGGGCAAAGAGGGCAGTTGTGCCTGGGCTCCATATATTGTAAGGAGGCCATAGCAGCATCCCTTTGAGCCCTCTGTACCGAGAATATAAAACCTTTGGATTTGAACTACATGGTGCTTTGTCAGGGTTATGGCTGTAAGGGCATCTTGAGAGATGTAGCCCACCAGGGCGGGAGCAAGGTACAGAGACCCAGGGCCGGATTATCATAGGGGCTGAAGAAGCTGCAGCTCCAGGACCAAGCCCATGGAATAGGCCCATTGTTTTAAACAAAAAATATATATTTTTTTTATTTTTTACACACTACTTTTGAGGTTGCCAGGTATTTCTAATGTATTTCTTAGGGTTGCCAGGTATTTCTCAGAATAATTTATAAGGTATTTGAGGCTGCCTAGCCGGTGCGGGTATTGCAGTAATACCAGCAATACAAAGGTCAGTCTCAGAATAAACTGAGATTAGATGCAATACTGGCACCGGCCAGTAGGTGGTGCTGTGTGTGAAGAGATAGGCAGGGATAGGATGTTACGGCATCTTCCTCCCTGCCTCTTTCTACTCACTGATCCTTGGGGGAGCAGCTCTGCCCAGAGAGTACAAACAGCAGCTCCCAGCCTGCAGAGACAGCCAACAGAAGAAGAATGGTAACACTAGGGAAAAGGTGAGAGACTTGGGGACACCGGGAGACATAGAGACACTTGGTGACACTGAGACACTAGGGGGCACTTGGAGACACTGAGAACTAGGGGAAACTGTGAGACACGGTGAGAGACTTGGGGACACTGAGGAACAGGGGGACCCTGAGACACTAGGGATACCCCCCATATCTCCCATTCAGTGTCCCTTGTGTCTCAGTGGCCCCATGTCTCTCATTGGCCCTAGTGTCTGTGTCCCTAGTCTCCCAGAGTCCCCATGTCTCTTAATGTCCCCATGTCTCTCCCAGTGTCCCCTAGTGTCTTAGTGCCCCCATGTCTCACAGTGTCCCAATGTGTCTAAGTGTCCTAGTGACATGGGAACACATGGAGACATGGCGACACAGACTCTAAGGGACACTGGCAGACATGAGGATACAAACACTAGGGGACACTGAGAGACATGGGGACACTCGGGGAGACATGGGGACACTGGGCGACTTTGAGTCCCGGGAGACATGAGGCACTCCCAGTCTCCCAGCCAGTGTCCCTAGTATCTCAGTGCCCCATGTCTCCCAGTGTCCCTAGTGTAGCTCAGTGTTCGTAGAGTGCCAGTGTCTCTAGTTTTTAGTGTTTCCTAGTCTCCCAAAGTCCCCTAGTCTCCCGGTGTCTCAGTGTCCTCTAGTATAAAAGAAAAAATCTCAGGCACTCACTGTGATAGATTTAAGCAGGTTTTTTGGACACTGCAATGTTGCCACCTGTACCCAGGTCTTTATCAAGTCTTCAGTGTCCCCTATGTATCACAGTGTCCCCTTTGTATCACAGTGTCTCAACGTCCCATGTCTCCCAGTGTCCCCTCATGTCTCAAAGTCACCCAGTGTCCCTATGTCTCCCAGTGTCCCCAAGTGTCTCAGTGTCCCAAGGTCTCCCATTGTTCCCTAGTATCTGTGTCCCCATGTCTCCCAGTGTCCCAATGTCTCTCAATGTCCCCTAGTGTCCTAGTGAAATGGGGACACTGGGAGACATAGGGACACAGACACTAATGGACTGGGAGAAATGGGGACACAGACATTCCCCTTTTTTGGGTTTGTTTGCCCCTTTCGGCAGTTCTTGTTATGTGATTTGCGTCAGTGGCCCACCCTCTTACCATGTCCATCGGTTTCCTGCTTTACTGGACACTGCTGTTAATGGGTATGGATTTACTGGAAAGATGAAAGCGTGAGCTTAGCATAGGGTATGTGTTTTCTCATAGCTGCATCCTATGAGTTTCCCTCCAGCACCATCTCCAAAAGATACATGATGCTTGGGAGGTAGGACTGTTTTAGTGTTTTTGTTCCATAAAATTTTGTAATTAGGCAAATCATAATTGTTAGCACCAGGCCCACTGGGATCTTCATATGGCCCTGAGTGGGGCTAGTAAGGTGGTGATAGGGAGTGGGGCTAGTAAAATAAAAATACATTTGTTAAGCACTCACCTTGTTGAGAAAATAATTCAGGGGCGGTTACTTAGTGCCTGGACTTCAATGCTTCTTCAATGCTTTCGCTGTCACACTGTCGGAGCACCGCCCGCACTTAAGGTCCTTCACTCCAGTTAGAGATCCTTCCGCGGCTTCAGGGAAGACCATGAAGGCAGAGCACGGCGATGTCACGCTGTTTCGTGCATTGCGCTTCATCAGGCTCCTCCACGCTCTGTTTTCCTACTCATCATGTAGTGCTCTGGGTGCAAGAATTAATATTCTTGCCTGGCGCTTGCTGAATCGCTCTTTTCAGAGGGGCACCGGTACAGGTCAAAATGTTGTGGTGTCCAATAACTCTGCTTAAATCTATCACAGTGAGTGCCTGAGATTTTTGTTTTTTATACTAGGGGACATTGAGACACTTGGGAACACTGTGAGACTAGGGGACACTGAGAGACACCAGGGACATTGGGAGACACCAGGGACACTGGGAGAGATGGGGGACTGAGACTCTGTGATACATGGGGGACACTGTGATACATAGGGGACACTGAAGACTTGATAAAGACCTGGGTACAGGTGGCAACATCGCAGTGTCCAAAAAACCTGCTTAAATCTATCACAGTGAGTGTCTGAGATTTTTTCTTTTATACTAGAGGACACTGAGACACCGGGAGACTAGGGGACTTTGGGAGACTAGGAACCACTGAAACACTAGCACTCTATGAACACTGAGCTACACTAGGGACACTGGGAGACATGGGGCACTGAAATACTAGGGACACTGGCTGGGAGAAATGGGGACACTGGGAGTGCCTCATGTCTCCCAGGTCTCAAAGTCGCCCAATGTCCCCATGTCTCCATGTGTCACCCAGTGTACCCATGTCTCTCAGTGCCCCCTAGTGTTTGTATCCTCATGTCTGCCAGTGTCCCTTAGAGTCTGTGTCACTAGGGGACACTTAGACACATTGGGACTGTGAGACACGGGGGCACTGAGACACTAGGGGACACTGGGAGAGACATGGGGACACTGAGATACATGGGGACATTAAGAGACATGGGGACTCTGGGAGACTAGGGAGTGTCAGTGCCAGACACTAGGGCAAATGAGCAACACCAGGGATTCTGGGAGACATTGGGGACAAAGACACCAGGGACACTGGTAGACATGGGGCCACTGAGACACTAGGGACACTGAATGGGAGACATGGGAGGTGTCCCTAGTGTCTCAGGGTTCCCCTGTTCCCCAGTGTCTCAGTGTCCCCAGGTCTCCAAGTGCCCCCTAGTGTCTCAGTGTCACCAAGTGTCTCTGTCTCCCAGTGTCCCCAAGTCTCTCACCGTCCCCATCTCTCAGTTTCCCCTAGTGTTACCTGAGCTGTTGGCTGTCTCTGCAGGCTGGGGGCTGCTGTTTGTACTCTCTGGAAAGAGCTGCTCCCCCGCGGATCAGTGAGTAGAAAGAGGCAGGGAGGAAGATGCTGTAACTTCCTATCTCTACACACACAGTATTGCATCTAATCTCAGTTTATTCTGAGACTGACATTTGTATTGCCAGTATTACTGCAATACCGGCACCGGCTAGGCAGCCTCAAATACCTGATAAATACTTCTGAGAAATACCTGGCAACCCTAAGAAATACCTGGCAACCTTAAGAGTAGTGTGTAAAAAAGAAAAATATATATATTTTTTGTTTAAATCAATGGGCCTATTCCATGGGCTTGGGCCTGAAGCTGCAGCTCCATCAGCCCCTATGTTAATCTGGCCCTGGCCCCACTCCCCACCTTACTAGACCTATTTCCCACCCCCACCACCTTAATAGCCCCACTAATTCTCCACCACCACTTTACAAGCCCCACTCCCCACCTTACTACCCTCACCACCCACATTACTAGCCTCCACCTTATAAGCCCCACTCCCCACCTTACTACCCCCACCACCCACATTACTAACCTCCACCTTACAAGTACCACTCCCCACCTTACTAGCCCCATTCCCCATCACCACCTTACAAGCCCCACTCCCCACATTACTAGCCCCACTCCCCACCATCACATTATTAGTCTCATTCCCCATCACCACTTTACAAGCCCCACTACCCACCTTACTAGACCCACACCCCACATTAATAGCCATTAATAGCCCCATCATCACCTTACAATCCCCACTCCCCACCACCACCTTACAAGTCCCACTCCCCACATTACTAGCCCCACTCTCCACCATCACCTTATTAGTCCCATTCCCCATCACCACTTTACAAGCCTCACTCCCCACCTTACTAGACCCACACCCCACCCACATTAATAG